CCACAAGTGAACTCAACAATAGCTGGACTGATTCACCTTGAGGTTTATCGTTACAGGTTTGAGGGCAATAGTCAAGGAAAATATTAAACACTCAAGTAGTCTTCTCATTTTCAAAAACTTGATCACATTTGAAAAAGCCAACAAAATGCAAACCACAATTAATTATGATGCTCTCAATTATTATTTTGTCACATGTAAGACACATGGAAATACTATGCTTCCGCCATCCAGACAAACTGGGCTAAGACGTCACCAAAAATAAAACACAGGGGTTCATTTCAGGCTACTTTCAAAACAGAATCAATAAAACATATCATTAGACTATACACAATATAAAAATTACTTGCTCACCAAGCAAGACCTGGTATCTGCAACAAGTATTTATTTTAGATAACCAAATGTGGGGTTTTTTTTTAATTAATCATGATGCAGTTCCACTAATAAAACAGATACAACTTCAAGACTTCAAGCCTTACCTTTAGAGTAAAATCCTTAGCAAACAGCAAGTAATTTCTTCATGGTTACCAAAATAATTATGCTACATAATATTTTGTCTATTTAACTAGTCCACTCAAAATCTTCTGTTTATGACCCTCAAATGAATGTGCCACAATCCCTTAATATTATTCCAGCAGACATCTTTAAACAGTCACAACTATTTCAAATTTTCACATTCTGAGAGTCTGCTATGTAAATCTAAATGTATCCCAGTAAAAAAATTCAGGTGCCCATTTCTATAGTTCCTGCAATTTTCTTCAATTCAATGAGGCAGCCACAAACACTGTAGCTTTCTCTACGAAATTACATTTTATTCTAAATTGTGAAAACAGACATCTACTACTGATCTTTTGAATATACTATTTTATTAAGAAATTAAAGACACTGAAGCTATCATTAAATGGCAACAAAGTTTTGAAATAAGAAAGAGTAAAGTCACCTGTCAAAACCCACCAAAACCTTCATAATCCAACTAAATAAACTATATGCCAAAATAGCACATGCTTTTGGCAATAGAAGTTTTTACTCTCTGCCACCTAGTTTAAATGGCAGATGTAAAAGGAAAAAAAATTAAATCATGCGATTCACTAAGCCAGAAAACTGCTTTTAAGTAAATTACTTGGGGAAAGAATAGAAGTACTATTTTCATAGCTTATGCTATTAGCATTGCCCTGCATATATATTGTAGTTGATGTTAATATTAATTCCAGAGTTAGATAATCCTCCCTTAGCTAATTAAATTCAGTGGTGAACTTATTAACCAACATTTCCCTGACCATTTAGTTGAAGTATTTTGAATGACAGCCTATTAGATGTTAGGAGACTTTTTAATGTACTACAGTTTGCAAAATTAATGTAGTATCTTCCATTTATACAGATTCCTCACTAAGAACTCCCAATTCATTTTGAATGCTTAAATTATAGCATAACCATAATAATTTCTATTCAGAAGTAATAACTCCTTTATAGACTTATTTTCTATGGTACTGGGCATCCTTAATCCCCTTTCATGTGAGAAAAGAAACAGAAATCAAACATTGCAAAAGTACCCAGAACCTCCCAGGATTACTCTGCAGATTCATTTTCAAATCCATGCCTCACATTGAAGAAAGGATTAAGACTTTAAACATTTTTTAAATTGTTATGTTATGAAAAATGTTGTTAATTGACTTATTGTTATGTAGACATAACTCATGCACTTCTGTAACACAGAACTGCCTGGGCTCTCCCAGTTGCTATGCAGTATTTCTTTAGAGCTGCTTTTACTCTTGAAAATATAGTAAGAAACCAGAAGATTATATGAAACCTCATTATATCAAAATACAAGAGTCATACATGTTTTTATATCAATATATTTATATACATCTCTATATGTACCATACATATATATACACACACCTATGATTGATTACCTCTTTGCAAGCTTATCCCATCTGTCACTCATTAAAGGAATCCTTGATTAAACTTTAATTAAAGTTTCCTATGTCATTCCTACTTCAGAATTACTCCATCTTTGACAATACTTCTCTCACTGTTACTCTTCAGTTTCCTCAACTCAATACTTAAAAATACAGAGTAGTGAACAGAATCCCTGAAATACAAACTCTATCTTGTTATTCATACTAAATTACTGTCTTTCTCAGCAGACTTGTGTCATCTGTCAAGCTTTTGAAATATACTAATTCATTTTTCTGTCTGTTAAAAAAAAGGTATGTTTTTTAAATCCTGGTATTTACTTGTGCATTCCACACAGAACTAAAAAGAAGATATTTCAGTGATCAAAATGTTATTGTTTACAAGACAACAGCAGCAGTTTCAGTTCAGGGAAATCTTCACATTTTTTTTTATTACACTGAATTCTGCACTTCTAACAATGCTTGAAACATGCTTGAATGACAAAGCTTATAGTGAATTCTATTCAGTTGTTTACAAGAAATATCCAGTCACTGAAACAAAAATGAGCTGCTCAATATCTGAATGAATACAGTGTTAAGTTCTTGCATTTCTAGGAAGTTGATTTTCACAATCATAAGAAATAAACTGGGCAATTTGCTTTTTAATTTGCGTCTCAAGACATGAATTTAGATTAGGTATGGGTTGACAAAATACATAGCAAAACAACCAAGGAATTCAAAATTATCTAATCCATTTTTCAGTGAGGAAAAAATTAAGTCAACATCACATAAAAATGAAAAGAGGAGATTTGAACACCACAACATAGTCCCTTTTGTGTTCATATTGCACAATGCACTTCAGATACAAAATTCATAGCAAAAAAAAAGTCTATTATGGGAAAACACAGCCTGTATGACATATATCCTCAATGGAGTTCAAGGACCCGTGAATGCAAGAATACTTCCATTTATATCAGGAATCCAAATCCTACTGATGATACATTACAAGGCTCAGTTATTTATGTGTTTATCACTCAGTGGCCTTTTGACTTCAAAAGATACAACAAAAATCCAACAAATAAAACTAAGTATTCTTCTCGCTTAGAATTTATCTAAATAAAACCTGCATTTGTAAGCTAGGTACTTAAATGTAGGAAGTACTCAATTTGATAACTGTCTGTATAAGTACATGCAGTGCATCGGTACATGGAAATACATTACTTTTTCTTTATCCAGAGTATAGGGCATAACCATAAGGAGAGAGAATTTTAATCATATAAGAAATTCTAAGTTTGCCACATTAAGTTTTCAGAGGCTGATACTGCAAGCTTAATAACAAACCTTTAAACATACTGGCACTGTTTCATTCTGCATGCTTTATACTAGGTGAGAACATAAAGATCAACAACCATAATACCCATATACACACACAAATTAAGATGAGTTACAAATGAACATTCTACAATAATACTAGAGTAGATATAGAGGGATGGAACACGTCTCCTATGATGAAACACTGAGAGCTTCATGGCTGTTCAGCCTAGACAAAGGGAACCTCCAGGGAAACCTCAATGAAGCCTTTTAGTACTTAGAGGGAACTAAGAAAGATGGGGACAAACATTTCAGCAGGGCCTGTTGCAATAGGACAAGAAGTAATGGTTTTAAATTAGAAGATGGTAGGTTCAGACTAGATATAAGGAAGGAATTTTTTTACAATGAAGCTAGTGAAATGCTGAAACAGGTTGCCAAGAGTGGTGGTAGGCATGAAACACTCAAGATCAGGATGTCTGAGCAACCTGATCCAGTTGAAGATGTTCCTGCTCATTGCAGGAGGGTGGGACTAGATGACCTTCAAAGCCTCCTTTCAACCCAAACCTTTCTATAATAAAAGAGAGATCATGGCATGAAAAGAAGCAGAAGGAATATTTAACTTTCCTTTTACCTAGCAATTGCTGCCCACAAACATTGCAGTTGATTACTTCACTGAAGCCCTTCTATGTCCTGCTTGAACTGGTAGATGTCCTTGATCCCTCCCTGACAACACGTATGGCCAGTCTGTGCTTTCTTTAGAAGGATCCAAGCACATTTTAATGCGTCGACCAGATGCTACAGTGTGCAATTAGTTTTGTATGTGGTTATGGTTTTTTAACTTTTTTACTTACATGCACTGTCTCAGAGGATAATCAAAGACAAGGATAAAAAAACCATATGACCTCAGGGTCCCTACCACCCTAAAAATCATGTTCCCTTACACTCAAACATCATATGAACAGAGTATCAAAATAAAGCCATTCTTCATTTTCATCCTTGGCTGGCCTGGGGGAAAGTCAAACAGACTTGATGGAATCTTTCTTCTTTGGGTCACCTTGTTACTCTGAAGACTGCTCTATCTGAATTTATGTTTCCCCAGAATTCTTCCCAGCAAAAGGAAAATTAGGAGTTCTATCTACTGTCTTCACCTTCTGGTAGGGAAGTGACCACCACTGTGCTCCTAAACACACAACTTCAAATACAAATGAGTGAAGTGATGTAGAACATTTGGCTTAAGAGAAATCAAACAGAATCATTTTAACAACATTTCATACAAGCAACTATGAAATCACTATGGTTACAGACAGGGCAAATTGTTTACTGTGAGACTCTTTGGAGCCCATTTCCAGATACTAATGACCTTTCTGTTCATCTAGTAACATCAGCAAACCAGGGAGGCTGCCCACACCATTAAAGCCAATTGCCTCTCAAGTAATGATTCTTCTCTTACTGATTTTCCTTTTAGTGTCTCTTTCCCTAGATTAATGGGTTTTAGTCTTCAACTGAACATCATCTACTGTAGGATACTATATAACAATTTTTAAACTACTTCTAAATAACCTTCCCTTCCAGAGTCTCTAGTAAAAATCCATGAGGACTCTGAATATGCTCCTAGATGTACAAGGCAGGTTTGTAAGTAACCTCAATATTAGAAAAAAAAAATAAATAAATACATACATACACTCAGTCTTTATCTTCTCTTTGCATCCCTTCTGTGCCACACCAAGGAGACACCCATGAGTGGACCATGCTCATCTCTGTACAGAAAAGACAGCAAGAAAAATCCCTTCCACTTACTTGGTGTTAATTCTGGGTTTCCTTTTAAGTTCATCATCTTTGGAATTGAAGGTCCATATATGTCTGCATCAAGTAAACCAACTTCTTTTGCCTGTGAAAGTAAAAGTGGAAAAGAAAAGCAAAAAGAACGTAATTTTCAAAGTGTCCTCCTTTCTGTATCATTAGCAGAGCAAAATTCAATACTGTTTCAAGAAATAAAAATAAAACCTTGATTTGAGACATCAGTTATCACTGTTTCCTTTCTCTCTAAATAGCAACTGAAGAATTAAATACAACAATGTCTACAAGTTGGGTCAGTTGCCTTGACGAGAGCTAGATTCTCCACACAGAACTCTTACTTGTACAGTTTCTTAATTATCTTACTTGTACAGTTTCTTACTTACATTGCAGACCACAGACTTTAAATTAACCGGCACTGTAACCAACATTCTCACTATTCCTTGTACTTTTATACAAAAGTAACACCTTAATGTTTTAAACAAGGTATCAAATTTTATTGTTACAAAAAACAAAAACAAGAAAAAACCACAAAAAAAAAGGCAAAAAACAGGAGGTTTGTAAGTATATGCAAATGAATGCAAATTAAATCATAACAGTGATTACAAAGAATGTGAAAAACATAAAAAACATATTTTTGTCTTCCATTTAAGTGGCAGAGTACACTGCAGACATCTTGAAGTTACTGAAATGCAAGTCTCTGAAGCTAGTTAAGCAGGTATAACATTTTAATCAAATACATTTACACAAAAGTATGCTATAAATGAGTTTATTCAACTACATATGGTACATTCGGCAGTAAACTTTAAATAAAAATATTTCAGCTATGTAGTCTACACTTATAAAACTCCTTTTTATATTCTTTTTTTAATAGATACACATACATATTTTGTGGAAAATAAACTGTTTTTCTACAGATGGTAAGACATAGTACCAATTACTAAGTTCTGCAAATTAAGCAGTAAAGAGCATGCCCTTTAAAGTGCCGAATGTCAAGTTTCTCTAATATAGAAATCTAACTGTATTCAACACTTTGCAAAATTGCAAACAAGTATATTTAAGAGCTTGTTTGAAAGGTTAAAGCAGCAAGAGGAGCTTTTCCAACAATGTCAAATCAGACTGCCACTGTCAGTGTTTCAAAATGTGTACTTCATTTTTCAGGTGATTTCATAATTTGGTATCTTATATTAAGCCATTTTGTTATCACAGTTTTGATGGAAAGATAAGAAAAATAAATTTTAAAAAAGCATTATCATATTTGACCTAGTATGCACTTTAAAAAATAAGTTTTTACTGCAGAAACCAATTTTGGATTTGGTTATTCAATATACATTTTATTAGCGAAACAGAGCAAAGCACATATAATTATATGGATTATTTAATGTAGATTTTTTAACGCTTTTTCTTTATGATGCCTTGTGAAAACTATTAGACAAAAGTTCAGGAGTTACTGCAACAAATTCTTCTTCTTGCCTTGTTGAAAGCTGCAATTTCAAAAACATTTAAAAGACCCATATTTATGTTAGACTCTAAAGACACGGTAAAACAAACCAGTAAAATTTCTTTGTTCTTGCACAAAATGCATATTTTAACAGATTAGAAACATTCATGACTCAGTCCCTTTATCTGTGTCTGCAGCTTATCAAACTTATCAAAACATCATCTACAGGCTGTTCCACCTAATTCCTTCCCAAATGAAAGCAAGTAATTACCAAAAAACCTACATAGTGTTTTAAACCCGATGGCATACTTGCCCTGAATTTCTTGAGGATCTTCCCCCTCATGCAAGGAAGATCAGTTGATTGACTGACTATTGATTGCCTGCAATGACCTCACAACTCAAGAGCTTCACTTTCAGACCAAAGGGACTAAAGATTTAAGATGACCTAAATTAATTAGAATGACTTCATGACCTCCTGGACATATAATCAGGTATTCACCACTATAGGCCACTGATTCTTGGGGGTCAGCAGCACTGCATCTACTGTATTGATATTATCCAACCTAAGTGTCCAAGATTTCCTGAACTAAAGAATAAACGGATCCAGACTGGAGAAGAAAATCCTAGAGGACTTTACAAATTCAGCTATTACTTTAAATTACCAAGCTAATACAATAAACCTGACCATTTATCTAAGACTTACACACTTCTTCAAAAGTAAGAAAAGTGCCTGCTTTTGACATGCACTGCTTTTCATGGATATGGTTCAATAAAATTGTTGTCTTCAAACAGAAGAATATAACGGTCTCAAGTTTCTACGATTCATGTTAACAAAAGCACAAGTATTCCTATAAGCCTAGTGCTTTCTACAGGATTATAGGAAAAAAGTCTTTCAGAAATCTTTCCATCACTGACAGAAGCTCACTTGAGATGGCCTAAGGCAGGGTTTTTTTCTTTATCAAGCAATTCAACACGTTAGGCAAGTAGAGTTCACAAGTAGCAGCTTACACAGAGATCATCAGTCCAATAAGCAATGGTTTTCTTTCTCTCAAATATCCCTGCTTTTGCAGCATGTAAACATCCCTAGAATGCCAATAACCCTTTACTCAAGGTTTAATTATCTCAGAAAAGTATTATGGCAGCTACCAAGGGATTTTTTAAAACATGCACAGTACAGTCCAGATCATTTCTTCCAGCATTTACAATGTTTTAAATCCCCAAGAGAAGAAATAATATGCACACACCTGGATGCTACCACGTGAAACTGTTAATCAGAATTACCAGATACTTCTCATGCTGAGTGAAATATAATCCAGATGCATGAGTTGTAGTAATTAAAAAATTAAATTAGATCTTCATAAATAGTTTTTTCTCCCCATACAACCTAACCTCATATAAAACAGCACATCTTTCAAAGCATTGTACTAAATCAAATCCTAAGAAAACATACATAACATCACACAAGCTAAAGAAAAACATCTGGGCAGAAGGAATAGACTATAAAAAGCACAACCAAAAAGGCAACTTAGGAAAAAACAAGGAGGGGGAAAAAAGCTCTAAGATCGCTCTTATGTCTTCTGACATTATTTTGATATCCATGTACTTCTCATACCAATGGTGCATCTTTTTTTTTCCTTAAGTAATACTTAAAACACAGAATTGCAGTACTTAAAGCACACCCAAGCACATAGAAATCCCCCTGCTACTAAGTGTTTTTCAGAGTGCAGCACACGCCACTGCCACAGCCTCCCTTGGCACTCTGGCAGGAAGAGGACTCAGAAAACACAACTCCACCATCTCCTTATGGCTGGTTTTTCTCCTTATAAACATATTTCTCTCCTGTACTATTAAACAAACAGCATTCCATCTCTCCAGATGGCATAGCAATAACCAAGTTCAAAACAGCTGTTCTCAAGTTAACATTTGTCTTTTTCCTTTCACCTGCCCAGCTGTGAAAGGAAATTTGAATCAATCTTTAAGTTTACTACACTTGGAAAATATTTTCTAGAGACCTTATTTTTGGTTGCCTCACTGCAAGTTCTGCAGTTTTGCAGTTTAAGCTCTAAAGATGCAAGTGACAATGTAACTATCCTCATATGATTTAATCACGGTCACTGGAAGTTACTTTGAAAAATATACAAACTCATGCAGTATCACTGGCCTCTACGTGCAGTATAAAAGATCCTTATCAAAATTCCATCAAGCAGAGACTATGAAATTAGAAATAAATATACTGTCAGCACATGAAAAAACAAAAGTACTATGTCAGCAAAAGCGCTACGTAAAACTTTGCAAATGTTCACATTTACCTTCTTATCAAGGCTTTTAAGGCTCCCTCACTGTAGGTAAACAGCCTCTAGAACTAACTAGGCTAAGAACTAGGCTAACTACTGCTAGGATTTGCCATTTCTGCAGTACTGGTACTGTCATGGTCTCGTCTGATCCCTGATGACCTCAAGAACACAAAAAAATGTTACAGAATAAAAAACTATAACTCCTCTTGATCTTCTGATTTTACATCATTGACTAAGTAATTCTTTCTACTTCATTATCATTAATCTTCTCAGCAAAGTTTTATTTGCCCATTAAACTGCTCTAAAAATTTCTGACAAACGTTCTTTGTGATGTACAAGTTACATAACCACTGCAGCTCTTAACCCATTAAAAATACAGTGAAGTTTTCATTCTAATTTAGAAACTTCTCTCACCCACATGAAGAATCAAAAACTAGTTTTCACAGTCACCAGGTACAGAGTCTCTATCTACCAAGAAAATCAAAGGCTACATCAATAGACAAAGAAGATATTCTTACAGATATCCCCGAGAGATGAGAATTCTACAGCTTCATTTATGCGGTGTACAAATTACAGGCACAGATAACCTCACTAGAAAGATCCTTTCCTTTACCTTCTCTGGCAAGATTCTCTACATAATTAAATTTCAGCTTAGTCCTTGAATCTGGCCACTGCCTTGTGAGTAATAGAGATCTGAAGGACAGCAGTATTCTAAATTAATGACTTTCAAGCTCTGAACTTAATTGTAATTCTTTTGGAGGAAAAAGCTAAAATGAAGTTGTTGAAGGCCAAAGTCCCGGTAGACAGAGGTCATGTAAAAAAGCCAATAAATTTTGCCGCCTCTTCTTTTCCTTATGCAGATAAGAAAGTATTCAATTGCTATTATGTTTGTTCTCTTAGGCAGGCAAATGTTACTGTACATAGTCCTTGTTCAGATAGCATAAATTAATGCTAATGACAAATGATCCACATCTCTCCTCCTCTTAGCTCTTTGAGCAGATCCTTAAGAACTGTTTCATCCCTCCCAACACATTCTTTATGTAGGGTCCCTTTTCTGCTTTTCAGGGAATATTTACTACAAAATCAATTAGATTTTCCAGTAACAAATTTTCAACCAAATGCAACCAGTTTCATTCATTTATCACAAAGGTCCCCTCCATACAATTCTGTGTGCAGCGAAGAATCCAGTGACATTACTTTTTTCTAAGTTGCCAAATGTTTTATTGGGGAGCAGACCTGATTAAAGACTCCATACCAACAGAGAGAAAAAATGGAGAAAAAAAGAACAATAAAAAGAAGAGTTCACAAAAAGCTTCTATAAATAGCTGTTAACACAGCCTGTGTTAGTGCTAAACATCC